AGCTAGGCCACGACCTGCTGTGTCCGCCATGCTTGTTCCAGCTCAAGGTCGAGCCGGTTTTCTTGTCCACCTTCACCTGCCAGCAGATCTACGGATGACTGCAGCAACTCGACTGCAAGGGCATGGCAATCACTCGAATAATGCGGCCAGCGTGGCTCCGTGTCCTGCGGCATCGATAGTTCGCTTGCACCGTTGGATGTAGAATGATGGTACGTACAAAGCCACTGTGATCGGACAGACGTCGTTCCCGAGGGCAGGAGGCGGACAGATAGTGTAGGACCTTATTTTATTGCAATTGTACAAATCAAGACCTAGACTGATCACGTACATGCTAGATCTAGAGCTCGAGGTAATATTGCTAATTTTTGACATGGTGCTTTCCTGTGAATCCAAGCGGTGGCTGGAGATCCTCGATCCCTGAGCCGCGGATGATGTCTGCATTGGTGTCAGCGACTAGTTGTCGTCGCTCGGCTGCTCGTCGACGTCGTAGAGCATCTTCATTTGCATCTCGATCGTTCTCCGCGGGTGGTGCCGGAAGACCATCGTCCCCTTCGGCTGCTCCCTCCAATGCAGGGGTCGGTGCCTCAACAAGTGCTTCGATGGCAGGGGTCGGCGCTGGTGCCTCAACAGGTGCTTCGATGACAGGGGTCGGTGCTTCGATGGCATGGGTCGGAGCCGGTGCAGAATCCTCGGCGGTGGTCTCGGTGGGCTTCGATTCGTGATCATGATCGATGGCTGTGCCTCTGTTGCCCCGGCGTGTTCGGGGTTTCTTCTGCATCGGATTGGAATTCGAGTCGTCGAGCTCCCTTCGAGGGCCTTCTGGCGTCTCATCCGTCTCCTTGCGCTTGCGCCCCTTCCCTGCACCCTTGGCGACCTTGGCGGCCATCATCTCGTGTCGGTGCTTGGCTTTCACATCCTTCTGCATGCTTTTCACTGCGTTTCCCATGCCGGCGATTGCATCCGAAATCTCGGCATCCTCATCCAGCATCTCCTGCAGCTCCGGCGGGAGTTCGAGTCGATCAGTGATGAGCGGGGCTCGATCCTGCAATATCAATACCAGCACGGCATACATTATAGCTAGAACGTATGATCTGAGCTATGATTTCTGATGTTTGGTCTTCTGCCCAAATCAGTTATATATATATATATGTTATACTTAAAGCTTTCGAGCTTGGTCAATTGCCATTTAGGTGTTTAGGGTCTAGGGCTTAGTAAGTTTAGGGCCTTAGGGTTCAGCTGTAAAGGGTTTAGGATTTAGAGTTCTTGGGTTTAGGAATTAAATTTTAGGGACTGGGGGTTAAGGGATTCGGGGTTTAGGGGGATTAGGGCCATTGTCGTCCTTGAACCCGGGCTTGGAACTGCCAGCTGAGGCCGCTGACAAGCTGATCGACCGGGACGAGGCAGAAGACGTGAGTGTCGCGCTTGACTTTGCCCGTCTAATGACCGCATCCTTCGGAGTCGAAGTCGACAGCTCGGCACAGCTATCATTCCTTGAAAGCCCGAGCTTGTGATCAGCAGCAGTCTTCCTGGCCTTTCTCGCACGCTCCAAATCCATCTCCTCTAATTCTGCGAGCTGTTGCATTGTAAGGACGGACTGAGGGTCGGGAACCTTGTTTGAGTCGAATTCGATGTTCATGATCTACGATTACACTGCTAATAATATATAGGGTTTAGGGTTTAGGGTAATATCATGCTGGCGATAGGTTTATGGTTGAGACTATGGTGCCAATTTGCTAACCAGGTCACAGGAGGATCCTCATCATCGGCACAAGCGGCATTCAGCATCTCCTCTAATTCAGCATCATCCATCTCAGGACGGGCAGTCTTCTCACAAATGAGCCGGTGCATCTCCATATCGAGCTCCTTAAGATCGACTATCGTAGTGGCATCGGCATCATGATCATGATCCTACGTCACACACGTACAATTGCAATTTTAAGTCAAGACACTGCCTCCAGGCTTCGCGGCTCCAAGTCGTCCAGCGGAACAGGGCTCAAACCGAGCATGATGGTGTCCTCGGATGGGCTGGCTTTTAGCTGCCTAATATAATAATGCA